CCCATTAAGACCCAATTAGGTTTTATGAAGGTATTTATAGGATAAATATCAATTAAATTGATCCTTAATGCTAAGGTGTAATTGAATGAGTTAGTATTAGAAGTTGATAATGAAATGAAAAGAAAATAATGAGGTTAAGGCTAAGGTGAGATTCGACCCAAATTAGAAAACATTAAGGTTTAGGTTCAATTGGTTTCTAATACTTCGATTAACTAAATTAGACTAAGAATACTATAAGGAGATGAGTTAGAATGAAAAATGATACCAAAATTAGAAAATTAACCTAAATTACCTAAACTAGGGTTTATGTCCAATAAGGCCCAATTTAAAGTTTAAACATGAATTAGTACCTAATTGAGTTAATTTTTAATGTTAGGGTTTAGTTAAATGAAATTGGATGAGAAATTGGTTTTGAAATTGGAAGATAATGTTTGGATTAAATTAGGGTTCTATTCGACCTAGGTTAGGAATTTTAGGATTTATGATTTGGTTTGTATAATTAATGTGTAGTTAAATTACTTGGATGCTATTTGATGTGTTTGATATGTGTATGTTGTATGGAATTCATAATATTAATGGTTATGGAATTTGTGTTGTTTTATATTGTGTTATGGTGTTGATATTTTAATGGTTTGGAAGGGTTTTATTAAGATAGTGTTTGTGGTGCATTTATGTTATTATCATGGCATAAATGCATCTCATTTATGCCATGCATTTCATGAAGCAATAATGGTTATGCATTTTCAATAAAATGCATATGCATGCCTAATTTTATGAAAAATGTTTTAAAGTTATGAAAATATATTTTATGTCATGGTTTTTCAATAGCAATTGAAAATATTTTAAAAAATATGATTTTCATGACTTTGAGGATTTTTATGAGGAGGGCTTCACGGGTTTTTCATACCCTTATGGTAAATGGTTCGGGGCTAGGCAAGTGAAAATGTATACTTTTAGAGGCTCGATAGGATGCATCTGCAGATGGGTCCGGTTCGATAGACATACTATGGAAACCCCGAAGTGCATGTGATGGGACATGTCCAAAGAAAAAAAAATTTTCGGATCGATCATGAAAAGTATTTATGACATGGAAAAGGATTTTATATGAGTATGTAAATGATTTATATACACATTTTTATTCACATGCATAACATACATTAGTTAACTTATTGAGCTATCGCTCACCTATTTGCTTATGGTGTAGCTAATATAGGTAAAGATGATGTTTTTCACGTTTGAGTTGACTACCGAAGGAACTGGCTAACACATGTATATTGGATGTGGTTGGGGGATAGATCTCATACACACCATAACTCGTTATAGTACTTGGTATCCTAGTTTACTTTCCGGCCATGTACGTGTTTTTCTATATGGTAGTTAAAGTAATGAAAGAGTAGATGACTGACTAGAAAGAAATGAATGTAGATAGTTAATAAGCCATTTTTGCGGTATTTGACACTAAATTGGTTTTGTATGTTAATGGTAGTTTTTATGTAAAAAAAATATTAATAGTAAAATAGTAGTATAGTCATAGCAAGTGTAGTTTTTTTTTTAACTTATTTATTTTTATGCTAGCATCATCAATATCATAAGAAAATAAAACTAATAATAATTAAAATAATGATCAAATGAAAAAGAAAAAAATAATCATTTATCGAATAATAGATTATGACTAAATAATTTATATAAGTTAATAGAAAAATAATTTGAGAAAATCGACTATCACGAATCCACTTATTTCAATTCAAAAAATGTAAATAAAATAATAAAATGTGAAAAATTAATAGTGCATTTTGAACCAAAACGTAGGATCTAATCATCATGATTAGACTTCCGCGAGTGTGATTTATACCTATGAGTCTTATGAATAAGTCACGGTGCCTTATTAGTTTATATTTATTGCATTTCGAATGTATGTTAACGACGATAATATTCTCAACTTCTTAGACCCTAGGTTGGGGGTGTTACAAACGTGTATCGGAGAAGGTTTTACCAATCACATCTAAGAAACACAGGCGGTGACCTTCGATAATCAATAAGTATGTTTGTTGAACAATTGTTATGATTGCTCGGTGTGTATGTAATGGATGTGAATGGCATGTTATGGTGTTGTGATTGAATGTTATGTGTATAGAATATTATAAATTAATGTGATATGAATGACTTAGTTTATGTTGTGTATGCTTGTCAATTAAAATAGGGAAAAGACTATGCCACCAAAATGGTCTATTAATAATAACATTAGTAATAACGCAGGATCAAGTCGTATGTTTGAGGTTGAGAGGGAGAATTAATTTAGCCGCTTAGAAGGCAGCAAGACATGATGTAGTTATAGCAGGAAAGGCACGAGGAACAACTACGAGAGGATACCGTAAACAACTTGACGTGGTCCGACTAAGGCAAGGGAACCATAGAGGACCGAGATAGTAGAGCATTTCCAAAGGTTCAATTCGAAGGAATTTTGAGGTGGTTCAAATCTTAATGTTGTAGAAGAGTGGATTGAATCCATAGAAGTCATTTTCAAATATCCGGGTTTGAGCGACATAGATCGTGTAGCGTGTGCCACCTCTATATTAGTTGCCGATGCACGAAATTGGTGAGAAATGGTGAAAGCATCCCTCGATGAAACGTGACTTACATGGAATCAATTCAAGGAACTGTTTAACGAGAAATATTTTTTCGACATCGTGAGATCTCATAAAATCCAAGAGTTTCTCCAATTGAGGCAAGGAGACATGTCGATTGTAGAGTATGTCCGCAAATTTGAGCATGGTCGTCACTATGCTACTTTTATTAACGAAAGCGAGAAAAGAAAGAAGAACATTTTCTTCATGGATTAAGGGTGGAAATAAGGAGTTTTGTTTGAATGTCGGTCGATACCTATAAGGATATGGGGAGGAAAGCACTCGGAATCAAAGTGAATCGGAATGAGTGTACTTGTATTCCACCTCCGGGTATGAGGAAAAGAGGAACTACTCTAAACAAGTTTGGAGGTCAATCTAGTAGGAAAAGACCATTTACTCGAATTGGAGAAAAGATGATAAGAGGAGAAGCACTTGTTAGACCACGGAGGAAAGGGGATCAAGGTAACCGAAACTCGTCCAAAATGTGGCCGTCCATATACCGGTGATTGTTTGATGGGCACGAATGTGTGTTACTTCTATCGAGAGGTAGGACATTTGGCTAATAACTCGTTTGAAGAAGTGGATCAAAATAAGTGTACTTGTGTTCCACCTCCGGGTTTGAGGAAAGGAGGAACTGCTCCGAACAAGTTCGGAGGTCAATCTAGTAGGAAAAAACCATTTACTCCGAATTGGAGAAAGGATAATAAGAGAGGAGAAGCACTTGTTAGACCACAAAGGACGGGGGATCAAGGTAACCGGAACCGTCCAAAAGGTGGCCCCCATACCGGTGATTATTTGATGGGCACAAATGTGTGTTACTTCTATCGAGAGGTAGGACATTTGGCCAATAACTGTTCGAAGAGGAGAATGATCGAAGGACGACGCATTTCGAGATGCGTATTTTAGTTGACGTAGGAGGAAGCGAATAAAGAAGGTGCTAATATTATATGTAGTAATGTCTCAATCCTTAATCTTACCGCATACACATTAATAGACTCGGGTGCCACACATTCGTTTGTTACACGATCATTATTAAGACAACTAGGCATGATACCAAAAGTATTAAATATGACATATGAAGTGGCACTCCTGTTAGGAGAGTCATTAGAGTCTAATACCATAATTAGGTAATGCGAGATGGAAATTGGAAGTAATACTTTATGTGCAAACCTTATAGTTTTGAGTATTCAAGATTTTGATTTTATTCTTGGTATGAATTTTCTATCTAAGAGCGGAGCGTCAATTGACTCGTTTGGCTAAAAGGTGATATTCCACCCATCGGATGAGCAACCTTTCGAGTTGCAAGTTGAAACATGGGTGAGACCCGTAACCCTAGTTTCAACAATGACAACTTGAAAGTTGATAAAAGATGGATGTATGGGTTACCTAGTGAATATGGTTGATACTAGAAAAGAGGGGAGCCTAAAATTAGAGGATATCAAAGTAGTTAAAGAATTTTCAAATGTTTTTTTCGATAGTATGTCGGGATTACCTCTAAAGAGGGAAATTGATTTTGAAATTGAGTTAATGTGGGTTAAGGTCATGCTGGATTTTGGGTTGAAAACTTAAAACTCATACCTTAGGCCGACCGAGTTGTCTAATTATCAGCTGTCACCTGAACCGATCTTTGGAGTTTGGATGATAATTTGATATGAACCATAAAGTCCTATCGAATTTCTTGAGCCCAAGAAAAAGAAAAATATTTTAGACCGAGTTAGGCCCATGGAAATGAAAAAAAGCCCAGGATCAAGATCCTTGACTAAGCGAACGACGATAAGAAACTATAAAAGACCCAGAGTCCTTCCCTCTTTAACACCTTTTATTCAATTTTTAGGAGCTCTCCTCAACTTCTGCTTCCGCGCTTGACAGTGTTATTGCTGATTCGTACTTTAAAATTGACGAGATTGCATTCAGTTTCTCTCATCTTAGGTAAATTAGTTAGTGTCCTTTTTTTATTGTTTTCTTGATTGATTATGTTGTTTATGCTGAGATTTCATAGTTCTGATAGATATTTTTTTTCCAAAATAAAACGAAATGGATTTTGGCATATTGTAAGCAAGAAAATAGAGTCCATGTACAAAACCCAGATGATATCATTTGGTTTTCGTTTAATTTTTAATCTCTACCTCCTTTCTTTTTAACCGTGGAAGACTCAAGACTTTACTGGTTTGGAAGAAATAGATCAAAATGGCTGCAAAATTTCAGATTCTTGTCTCTCTCTCTGTTTTTTTTTTTTTTCCATTTCTTACTCATCATCCTTTTTAAAAATTGGTCTTTTTTCTTTTTATAGGAAAAAAGTTGCTACCTTTGCTTCCTTGTCTTATGACATCTTATTTTATTTTCTTTGTTGTTGCTTCCTTTTCTCAGATGGAACATATGATGAGATCTATTCGAGGTTTTGGAAATGTTGGACCGGGGAATAATGAAGTTAATAACTCTGAAATGGAGGGTTTTTGCCGTTGTGTTGATCAAATGTTCTCAAAAGTTGATGCGGTGTGTGTTTCTTTTTTATATTGTTAATATTATCAATGCTACAATAAATAACGACTAATTGGTTTTGTTAGTATTTTCTTTCAATTCACGTTAATAGATGTTGGTGTGCAGTGAAGAATTATTTCTTGTCCATCATGTCTTGATTTTCGCACTTACAACTTATAAGTGTGCTAGATAATGAAAGATTCTTGCATTATGAATTTGAAATTGCATGTGATTATCAACTGCAATTTGCCTGTTTTGCTTGCAGCTCGAGCAACGAGTAAATTCAGTTGAAAGTTTCTACGCGAATAATAAACAACTGAATACTGCTAAATGCAGCTCAATTTTAAAGGATAAAATCAAGGACAAACATTTGATGACCATTGAGAAGCAACAGCAAGATTCTGAAAAGAGAATGCAAGACCTCATGCGTCAGTTTGCAGTCTTATTTCGCCAGGCAAGCAGTTAGCACTCTGATCATATAGTAGGTTCCCAGTACTTATGCATTCGAATAAATCATGAATTATGTTTGCTTTTGTTTCTGAGTTGTAGATTTGAAGTTTCCAGATCTAGTATGAATTGAAATTTTCTAGCTCCCTGCCCTCTTCATTTCTTCATTTGATTCTAGAAATTCTTTGCTCTTATGAGTAGAAGATTTCATGGTCAAATTCCTGGTCTGATGATCTTGTTTGGTTTGTGGGCCTGTACATTCAAACTTCCAGCCTTAATAAATCATAATTCATAGAGGAAAAAATAATTGAAACTATGGCTGCGCTCTTCTGGATCGCTGGGGATGTGATTGAACAGTCTTGCACGCTAGAGAGGTTTTGTGATGGTGTTTAGTGTGGTATGCATATATAGAGAGCATGCCAACATTCAATTTTACCATAACAATTATCCTCTTTTTAGAGGCTGCCTGTTGTAGTTTCTCTGTCCCATGCCCTGTTTTTGTTTTCTTTCTTGAAACTAAATTTTGTGTTCTGTAGCTCACAGGTTGTCTTAACATTTTTCGCTGAATCTATTCTGTAGTAGGTGATGTTTTCTTAAGCTTTCTATCTTGATAAGAATTAAATGATTAACCATGTTAACTCACTATGACGATCCCAATACCTAATAAAAAATGCTATTTCTTTGGACATGTTAGCCTCTCGATGACTGATTTTCTTTTTTCTTTTTTTATGGGAAACCAGCAAGGGCCAGAACATAAAATACAAACCATTTAGGTCTGCAGAAACTATCTCAAACTTGGTAAAATTTATAACTGTAAAATTATGGCAATTATACTAATCAGAGATCTCTTTTCTTTTTTCTTTTTTTTTTTTTTCTCTTATGGTTGCTTGAGTGGGTTGCTATTGTATATTTATGGGGACGACCAGGTGATTTAAATAATTCTAAAAAGTGACACTATAGTTCTGGTTTAAGGAGATTTTAAAGCGGCACTGAAGTTTTAATCTCTATGAAAGGTTTTAAAGAGATTTCCGCAAGTAAGGCTGGACTAGGATCACAACCTGGGGTATTGGGGTTGTCATCTCTTTATTCATGAGATTGGATCCTCCTTGCTCTCTGAGGCTGTTTAAGTCAGTTTCTGTGGAAGCTAAATTCTTGACTAAGAGGAATACTTCTTTCTGGCAGCACTTTGAAGGCCTTTCATTTTAGCATTTGAGTGCACAGATTGGGGAGGCCATTTCTATCTGCTGCAGACTTAGATTTTTTTTTCCTTTGCTTATTATTTGAACCTCCTTTAATTTTAAACTTCTACGACCTTATCTTGGTATTCACTCTTTTTTCTTTAATAACTTTTATGTCATTTTGTGTGATTTCTTATGCTTCTTAAACTAGTTGAATTTTCATCACATTTCTTTCCTTCCTTCCAAAATTTTACTTGTTGGCTAGGCTTTTGCTTGTAGTGACCTATCTTTCTCAGTTCTCAGATTTCATTATATGGTTGGTTTAGAAAAAACGCAATTTCTTTATTTGGCTTTATCATCTAATTTATGTGGTATCTGGTGAGAGTTGTTGTCCTTGTGATTTTCTTTGTCCTAAAGCTTGTGATCTCTTTCCAAAGTACACTTTGATAAAAGTTCATCAATGGTTCGCTTTTTAATACTATTGATTTGATTGTTTTTAACTCGTGGTCTGATGAGTATGCTATATAATGGAGTATGGCTTTCCTGCTTCATTAAACCTTCTCATCCCTGGTGAAATTTTTAATTGATTTTGTTATCACTTATCAGATCACTCAGCACAAGTGGGCTTGGCCTTTTATGGAACCAGTGGATGTTGAAGGTCTTGGTTTGCATGATTATTATGAGGTAAATTTTAATGTTATCATTAAAAAATTTTAGTTGCATATCTCTATGATCAACTGTTCTGGCTTTTGTTCCGAAAATAATTTCCGTTTTTATAACGATGAATCTATAGATTTCTAGTAGTGGTAATGAAAGATATATTATATCACTTTCTAAAACAAATGGAAACTAGGCCTGTTTGGCCTTTAATTTTTTTTTTACTGTTGTAAGGAAACCTCTATGCTGCCATAGATAATAGGTAACTCCCTTCCTGCTTTTTCTAGAATGACTTGTGCACCACTTTTGTGAGAGAGAAAAGGCTGCTATGGATGACAGCTGGTGTCTCCAATGCACCTGGAATTGTTGGTTGGCCGTATGACATTCTAAGTTCTACCAGTCAAGAGTTGGAGAGGTGCAAAATAGGATCTAATTAAGGATTGCACGTGAAAACATCTATGTCCTCACTTTGAATTTATAAGTTTGGTTATACCCAGAATTTTTCTTGCCAGGGTACTCTATGAATTTCCTTGAAGTATTTTTGTATTTATTATCCATCTTTGTTAATCTTGGGGTTTCCTTGTGGATATATATATATATATACCTTCAGTTGATGTTTAAGGTTGTGCATCCCAGGTTATTGAAAAGCCAATGGACTTTAGTACAATAAAGAATAGAATGGAGGCTAAGGATGGCACTGCGTACCAGAATGTTCGGGAGATATATGCTGATGTTAGACTGGTTTTTAAGAATGCAATGAAATATAATGATGAAAGAGATGATGTCCATGTGATGGCCAGAACTTTGTTAGAAAAATTTGAAGAAAAATGGCTTCAACTTCTGCCTAAAGTTGCTGAAGAGGTATGCTTTTACCTTTGTTTGATTGCCTTCTTTCCAATAGGAATTGCTTAATTGTTTTCCCAGCAACCCATCTGACATTCGGGAGAGGTGAACTGCTAACCCAGCCTGAATATTTTTTTTTGCCTAGGAATTGCTTGATTTTCTATGGCGGACCTAGTCTAATAATCTTTATTAAATTTCATTATCTATTTGTTGCTTTCTATTATTTGGTGATTTTGATACTTAAACGGTTGCAGGAGAAAAGACGAGAAAAGGAGGAAGCAACAACTCAGTTGGCTACGAAACTATCTGAGGAGGCTTCTCATGCTAACATGGCTCAGGATTTAAGCAATGAAGTATGTGAAACTTAAGAGCCTTTCTATAATTCACTGTTTAATGAAAGGAGATGCAATTTGTTTTGCATACACTTGATTATGTCCCTCCATTAAATTGTTTAATTCTGCATAAGAATATATCTATTGGATGGGTTGAACAATACATGTTAAATTTCTGTCAGCTTTATGAAATTGATAAGCAATTGGAGAGACTCAGAGAAATGGTGGTTTGCAACAGCAGGTTTGTTCAGCAACACATGCTTAGTTTCCTACTATACTACTTTGAAATCAACTTTGATTGGTTTAGATATATTTTCCATGGTATTTTACTACTATACACTTGTTTTCTTTCTTTATTTAAATTCTCCAAGCAGATAAAAGACTTGGGATGAAGTGCTGATATATATTGATTGTCAAAACAAAAGTGCCATGCTTACTTTTTCTGAAACTTCATTATAATTTTTCTCCCTGACATCTGAGCTGGTGAATAACAGAAGAGTTAGTGTTCAACATAGCATGGCATTCTGGTCTGTTATTATAGACTAGTGTCATCCACGTTAATTGACATGCTAGTGGGTGTCTGAAAAAAACCAAAATTTTGCTTAATCAATAATTTTTTAGAAACTCATGCTACATTAACAAAAAGAGAAAAATGAAAGGTCGGAGGGATAATACAGGTACTAATTTAGTACCTTTCTCCATTTATACTGATATAAAAGCTGATCCTGGCCTTCTGCCTGTTGATTCTCGAGTAAGAATATTTTAAGTTAAAAAACTCATCCACAAAGTGCAATTCTGAGGAATAGTAAAAACTGAAGGGGAAAAGGGTAAAATATGTACTAGATCATTAAAACCTTAACTGCCTCTCTCTCCTCTCTACACAGTTACACTCTCTTGTTAGCTTACTTAAACTAAGCTAATGCTCTCTTCCTCCTTGCTCCTTTCTCATTCACTTTGCTAAAGGAAGTTTGAAAATTTCTAAGAGATGAAAATTTCTAAGAGATGTCAATAACTCCCGTATAAATATATATATCCATAGAGTCAAAAGTATCTTTTAGACCATCATTGTGAATCCGAGCTTTGTATTTGGTTTGTCCATGCTGGTGTTGTGTGTGTAGTTGAGACTGGCCAGTTGAACTTGAGCTATCATTCATAATATTGGTATGATTTTGGCCATCCACACCTACTGTGGATAAAATTGTTGTAGAAAGATATCCACTGAAGAGAAGACAAAACTCGGGACAGCACTCACTCAATTATCTCATCAAGATCTGATTAGGGCACTGGAAATAGTTGCTGAGCATAATCCAAGCTTCCAAGCAACAGCTCAAGAAGTGAACCTTGACATGGATGCTCAGGTTTATATCTCATGCTTGTCAGCATTCCAAGTTGACAATCATGTTTAGATGCTTGATTATAATTTCCAATATATTGCCGTAACAGCTAATATGTTTTGTTTTATGTGATGTTATTTCCCCATTCAGACTGATGTGACATTATGGAGGTTAAAGGTTTTTGTGCAAGATGCACTAAAAGTTACAGGCAGGAATTCTGGGGGCATGCACATGAGGGGCAACGACAATATTTGCAATGATAACAACAAGGCCAAGATCAACGTCAACAACAAGAACAGGAATACCTTTGCATCCAAAAGGAAAGGAGAGAGCTGTGATGCTGTGACCAAGACATCTGCCAAGAGGACTAAGAAGATCTCTCTTAATTCCCTTAATGCATAGCCTACCATTTCAGGTTTGGATTTGTTTTGGCACAACCATTTACATTATCAATGCCTTTTGATTACTTTGGTGCCGTGGAGAAGTGTTAAAATCCAAGAAACTTTTTTTGGAGATGGAAGAAATGTCAGATGTGAAAAATTGAGAAAAACATGGTGCTTATTTGTGGCAGGTATACGCATTCCGTGTGTCCTCGAGTGTGGCCTCCACATGCAAGAGTGATATGTGATTATCGAAGCTTTGGAGGTTCCTCTAACTGGAAATTAATCAGTTTGAGAGATTTGTGAAGATATTCCTGTATATACGGTCTTGAGTACATAGCGTTATACTTGTACTGTACATATTCTACTATCTTGAAATTCAAGTTATACGGTCTGTTGATTCCGACATCAGTTTAAATGGTACGGATGAAAGTCAGGGATTTGTTTGTCCCCGCCTTTTGACACTAACTCTAGCCACCGTGTTACCAATAGCTCAATGCCTTGGGCTCCAGTGCTCTTTCCTGAAAGAAAATGTTTCCGGGCACTCGGTGAGACTGACAGTGTGCTTAATACGAAATTGACTCATAATAAGACAAATGCAGGACTTACACAAGATATTGCCGTAAAAGATGCGGGCATACGTTTTAGATTCATTTCAGCCATTACCCTGCAATTTGCATTTGCAGAATGCCATGCTCCATTGCTTACACCCTGTACAATAACGTTTCATGTGCTGTGAAAGCCGTATTTTGTCGTGGTATTTTAAGGAAAGAATGTTGCATTTTCTGAGATACTTTTACATTAGCACTGTTCAAACAAATTAAGTTTTCAAGCGATCGCCTTGACAATCTTAATAGCTCTGGAAAGCGGAAACTATAGTAGGGTTATTTTTTCTTTTTTATCCAATCATTTCGGATTTTATTTGTTTATTTATTTTCTTTCTGAGTATGCTATATGAACTGAAAGTAAATTTGGTTCGCATAAAGATAATTTGTCTTCTTCTTTTTTGGCTATTGTTACGTGAAAACAATTATCCTCCATTAACATAAAAAATAAAAATAGCATAGAAATTGTCACCGTAATTTCATATTATAAACAGGAAAAAAGTAGAAATGTGATAAAAACTCGCAACTCTTTGCGAGCGCATCTTGTTGAAATGGATGCAAAAAAATTTTAAAAAATAAAAAATAAAAAAATTAAAGAAGGTACAGTAATCAAGTTGTCCACGATTTGGAATGAGTTGTCTACAGTTTGTGGACAACTTGAAAATGCAAGTTAGGTCACAGCGTGCATTTTGCAAGCTGTGACCATTGAGGCGGTGCAATGCAAGAGGGGAGCCCTAGGACCTATAAATTGGCCTTCCCACCTTATTTCATCAAAAAATAAAAAAATAATAAAAAATAAAAAATAAATTTGAAGAAAAAGTTCTTAGTTTAATCCCCAAATTCTCTATCAAAGAGAGATTGGTTCCTATAGAATATAGAGTGTTTTTTCTATTTCAAAAGAGAAAGTTACTATTTTCTTCTTATAGTATAGAAAGAGGTTATAACTTCTATTATTTCTCATAATGAAGTCTTTCTATTTTGTCTATGGTTTTTTTTTCTTAATTTGTTTAAGAGTTTTCCATGTAAAATCTATGTGTTTAATATCATTATTTTGTCAAATTTATTAGTTGTGAATCCCGCTCTATCCGATCGGTAATACAACAAGCGATATCGGAGCGTGGTTTTAAATCTTATAGAGGCATGCTACTCGTAGCGATAAAGAGTCCGTGATAGAAGCAATTACGACAAGGTTTAAAATTGAAAAATTCAACGAGATCAATTTCTCATTGCGGAAGTTGAAGATAAAAGCTATCTTGAGAAAAGATAATTGCCTAGCGACCATCACCGAAAGGCCAAAAGAGTACACAAATGATAGTAAGTGGGATGAGAATGATGGAAATGCTATTGCAAATCTTCATCCGGTATTAGCAGATGGGGCGTTGTCAAGCATAGAAGAGAAGAAAACAATGAAGGAGATCCGGGATCATTTCACTAAGTCTGTATGAGGCCGGATCACTCCACAACAAAATTTTTCTTAATAGTAAACTCTATACTCTTTGTATGTCGGAATCTATTTCGGTGATAGAGCATGTCAATACTTTGAATACTCGTTTTCTCAACTCACGTCATAGGGTTATAAAATAGATCAAAGTGAAAGTGCTTGAATTTCTACTTTAAAGTCTACCGATTTGTATGATCAACTCATCATCAACTTAACAAATAATATCCTTACGGATTATTGAGTCTTCGATAATGTTGTAGTCGTTGTTCGGAAGAAGAAAATCGACGCAAGATCAAGGAAGACGAGTGAGACAAGTTCACGATAAGTAGAAGCCTTATTGGTGATGAGAGGAAGATCAACAAAATGTGGCTCAAGTGGAAGCCACAATCATGGTAGGTCAAAATCAATAGATAAGAAGAATTTTAAATGCTATAACCGTGGTAAGAAAAGTCACCTAAATAAGGATTGTTAGAGTTTGAAAATTCCAATCCTTAAGGAAACATGATGAGTAGTTCACATGATGGGAACGCTCCGTATTGTGAAGCAAGTAACAACGTATGAAGATAAAAAAGATTTGCTCATGTGTGGCTATTTAACTCGGGAGCTACGTTTCACATGACCTCTAGAAGAAAATGGTTCAATCATTATGAACTTATCTCGTGGGAACTCGTATACAACCGTAATGATTATACTTCAAAGGTCATTAGAATTGAAACCGTCAAGCTAAAGATGTATGATGGTATGATCCGTATTATATAAAAAGTGCGACATGTGGAGGGCTTGAAGAAGAAGATATTGTCTTTAGAACAACCTGGATGATCTTGAATGGAAGATCGAGATAAAGAATAAGATCATGAAGATTGTTCGAGGTGCACTTGTACTTAGAAAGGGAGAAAAGATAGGTGCTAACTTGTATATGTTACAAGGAGAGACTTTCTTGGAAGTAGAAGCATCAATTGCTTCAAGTAGTTCAAGTGAAAAATTTACAATGATGTGGCATGAGAAACTTAGACATATGTTTGAACAAGGAATGAAAATCTTTGCTAAGAAAAAGCTACTTTCAAGCCTCGAATAGGTATCATTATCGTTTTGTAAGCATTGTATTACAAGTAAGCGAGTATCGTTTAAAGTATGGCAAGCACCGACTTTATCCTTGAGAAAATCTAAGTACTTTGTGTATTTTATTGATGATTATTCTTGGAGATGTTGGGTATATCCAATCAAGAATAAGTCGGATGTGCTTTTAATCTTTAAAGTTTGATCAAGTGTCCGAGGATGGATAATGGAGAAGAATACATTGATAATGAATTTGATACATTCCGCAAATAAGAAGGTATCAAAAGACAATTCACGATTGCATACTCTCCTCAACAAAATGGAGCGACAGAGCGGATGGACAAAACCTTGTTAGAAAGAACTAGAGCAATGTTAAGGACTCGCGAGCTTAGGAAAGACATCCCGAGCGGAAGCAATCAATACTGCTCGTTATGTTGTGAATCAAGCCCCAACAACAACAATTGAGTTAAAAACACTAATGGAGATGTGAACTGGTAAACTAGTTGATTATTCAAACTTTCATATATTTAGAAGTTACGTGTACGTGATGTATAATGCCAAAGAAATCACAAACCTAGATCCGAAATCTAGGAAATGCTTATTCTTAGGTTATGCTTGATGAAGTGAAGGAGTGTCACCTTTGGGATCTCACTACCCACGAGGTTATTGTTAGCAGAGAGATCATCTTTATAAAAAAAGATCTATAAAGGAAAGAACAAAATGATTGCACTTAAGAGATTACAATGGTACAAGTTGAAAAGAAAGTTGAACAAAATGATTCTTTTGAAGCGACGACTAGAGCACAAGGTACAAGAACCGATCAAGTTTCAAAAGCTCGCTGGTCAAATCGCACAAAAAGGCAACCAAATTGGCATTTTGACTACATTATGGAAAGCAATGTTACATATTGCCTTTTAACTAATAAAGGTGAACCATCAACGCTCCAAGAGACACTCGAATTACTCGGATGCGGATCGGTAGATGACAACAATATAAGAAAAAATAAAAGATCTTCATAAGAATAAGACGTGGGAACTTATGCCCTCGCTACGAGGAAGAAAGGCCATTGACAACAAATAGGTCTATAAGATCAAGCATAATAGCGATGATCAAGTAGAGCAGATATCATACAAGATTGGTGGTGAAAAGATATGTTAGAAAGAAAAAATTAACTTCGATGAAATATTTTCACATGTGGTTCGACTTACAACGGTTCGAGTAGTCTTCACAATTTGTGCCAAGTTTGACTTACATCTAGAGCAATAAGGCTTGTATTTCCAAGTTGTCCATGAAACGATGGACAACTCATTCCAAGTTGTCCATGGTGAGTTATCCACAGTTCCATGGACAACTTGATTACTCGTCCCTTTTTTAATTTTTTTCTTTTAATTCAATAATCTCTCACTCGAAGATTTGATTGAGAGTCAATCGGATCTTTACACTATTCTTTCTATCTTATCATTCTCATGTTGCTTATGTCTTCATCCGATTGCAGGGAGGATTGACGGCAAATAAATTTGTCGACATTGATTGTCTTTGTAAGAAAATCTGCTAAGTTGTCTTTCATATGAATTTTACGTATATTCATAATTCCTTCTTCCACTTTCTCACGAACGAAGTGATACCGAACTCATATGTGCTTTATCTTTGAATGAAAGGTTGGATTCCTTGCAAGATGCAAGACACTCTAACTATCACAAAACAAAGAAATCTTTTATTGTTTGTGCCCGAGTTCCTTCGATACCTTTTTTAACTAGATCGCTTCTTTATTGGCTTATGTAGTGCTACATATTCTATTTACGTTGTTGACGTAGCCACAAATAAATGTAATTTTGAAATCCAAATTACAATTTCACCGGTAAGCGTGAACACAACATGTGGTTGATTTGTTTTTATCTAGACCACTAGCATGATCGAATC